TTGTATCCTTTTGCCATAAAAACGTGTGAAATGGAGCTTGAGTGATGGGTTAAAATATTACTGGTTCAAAAATAAGATGTGTTGGAAGAGAGCTGTGTTTTTTACTCGCCCATCTATCCCTGGAGGACAATAAGGCCAGCGATTCAGAGAGAAGGCTAAACACAAAGAAATCTCAACACAAACCCATGCTAGTAGGACTTACAAGTTATAAGGCTGTCACAGTTGAAACCAATATGTACAGTCTTGCCCCAGATTTTTGCATCTTGAGATGTCACTGCAGGGCAGAGTAAAAGCTGTTCAGCAGCCTAGCTTTACCCCAACCTGCTTAGCAAGCGACAAAGCCACCAGGCAAATGTAGCATACATTAGCATGTGTAACCTGGCCCCTAAATCCTACTCTGAGTAATGTTCATGTTGAATAATGCTTATGTTGAGCTGCATCATGGAGAGGAGAAGGGTCTGCCCTGCTGCTGCTCTGTGAGGATGGAGTTGGGCTGAGAGGTGGTGGCGAGCAAGAAGGTCGAGATTCTGACCCTGCTTTACAGGTTTCTCCTAACAGAGTTCTCCTGGTCCGTGCAAAAAAGCAGAGGTGGCAGTGCTGCAGGCTGCATTCTGAGCACTGATACTCCTTTTGGGGCTGTTGACAGTTGAGACCAAGTTCCCTTCTGAGGGTTGTGACTCCAGGCTGAGCCCATTAATTTCTTGCAGTGGGGAGCTGTAGCTTGAGAGCGTCCATAGGGGATGAGCTGTTTTGGGTCACAAGGATGTAGCTCTGTTTCTGCAGCCTTGGCTGAAGGACTGAAAAATGAGTTACACAGCAATGGCAAAAAAAAGTGGCCATTAATTTTGGTAAGTGACGGGGTGTAGCTCATAGCATAACCCCTGGGGTCTTCCTTGCATGAGAGATTTGAATCACAGAAATAGAATATCCAGAATTGGAAGGAACCCACCAGGATCTTGGAGTCCAACTCCTGTTGGCCTGTCAAATGCTTTGTTAAAATCCCAAAATACCCCCCACCCATTGCCTTCCCTTTGTTGCTGTAAAAGGAAATTAAGTCAGTACAGCATGAAGAACATTTCTGTGGAAACGAGATTCTGCAGTGTGAATTCTTTTGAAACCAGTTACATTTATTCTAAACTGTCAACCTATCAATCCATGTGCTATAATGCTTGGGCGAGTAGCACATCTTTTATGTGTAGCCATGAATCCTGCTTTAAGCTCAAGACTTAGTTCAGGCAGAGCTCAAAATGGAGGGGAGCACTGGTTGTATGTAAAATTGCTTCTTATCCTCCTTTAAAAACTCACTCAGGGCTGGGAGTAAATGGGGGCTAAAGATCCCTCTGCCTTTTGTTTATATCCATCTTACCACAAATGGTCACTTGTCTTTTGCAGTAGTAATGTTGCTGGTTAGGAAACAGAAGCTGTACTGGCAAATAGCTATTCCTGGACTTCTTCTGCCAGAAGTGTCCCTAACCATCTCTACTGGCATGTGCTGTGGGTCTGACCTGTTGATCCTGGTTTATCACTCAGAGGTTTTTTTGAGCTGATTTGCAGAGGATTCAAGGCCCAGCTTCAGTCCTAGTTGTTGGTGCTCCTGAAAATCGGCCTCCAACCCTGTCCAAACCACACACCCAGAGGCAGATGCTCCTTCTGGAAAAGCTCCCTGAGTGAGGTATTTTCCATAGACACCTTGCCCATGAGCAGAACGGCAAGAACTGAAGCCGAGGAGCTCCTGACCACCTCGCCAGTGCCCCAGAGTGAGCTCACCCACCTCTTTCCCTGCTTTTCTTAGCACCATGCTTCCATCACACTGTACAAGCCCTCAGGAGTCTCCTCACTCAGCTCTAAAGAAGGCTGTTGTGGTCAAGTTTGAGAGCCAGCATTAAGTCTTGGAGATTGCTTGGAGCCCATGAAATGTGCAGAATGAAATGAGGCCCCAGTTGTCACCTGGTTAGTGGTCCTTGGAGAACAAGCCTGTACGTGTGTGCCAGACAGCCCTGTGAGGAACATGTCAGTGATCATGAGGAGGTAGTTGTTCAGCACAGACTACTTAGCTGTTGGAATCATTTCTAAGCACCCTAGTGAATGCCTTGGGATTTCATGATTTCATACAAGCCTGGGATGAGGTGAGACATCCAGCACTGAGGCTGCTCAAACCACACTTTCCCAAACTACAGCCCTCTAAAGATAACTTTGCTTCAAGATTAAGTCTTTTGTTACACAAGGGCTGGCCAGAGATTGTGGTGTTCCGAGGTGGCAGCACCACTTTGGGGTGATCATGGCTCGTGGCTGCTGTTGGTATCGTCACAACAGCGCCAGCCCTGATGCTGTTTAAGAGGTGGGTGTGTTGGTTCATCAGTTATTTTGTGTTGGTGATCTGCAGGGACTCCTCAGGATGCAGGTACAAACGGATACCACAGAGTGCTCCAGAATCCATCTGCACCCCTGTGATTAAAAGAAAACCAGCAGTAAGTGGGGAAAAGGAACATCTTTCCGAAGTCAGAGCATGTGGGTAATGCAAGCGTGACACAAACACCCTCCCACGGGCTGCAGCTCCTACAAGAAGAGCAAGTAGCTGCTAAGCACCAGCACGTCAGTGCAAGAGGGAGATGGTTTAAGTGCTGACACAGATTTGGCTGACAAACATGGTGCTGGCACATTGTCTCCTTTGAAGCAGCAAACACACTGCTGCAAAATCCCTCTGTGATGCTGTGTGTGTCCCTGTGTGCTGCAAGAGTGGCTCCCAGGGACTTCACCCTGTGCAGCGCTGCAGTTCCTGCTCAATGGCTGGACAAGATGTCAAGCCTCAGAAGAAAAAGTTGAGTCCCCTGCCTGCTTTGAAACAGCTGACTCATGTAATGCTTGTCCTACTCCTTCCCAGCCCTAAAAGAACCCAAACCAAGCAGGATGCAAACTGCAGTGAATGTTATCATTGAGTGCTGTCCAAAAAACAAGTATTTTTGAGATTTATTCCAGTTAAATTGGCAGTCTTGCAATTCCAGATGACCTGGCAATGTCCATAGGACAGAGGTCTTTGATGATGCTGACATAGACCCATTCAGAGCAAAGGGCTGGGCAACAGATTCCTAAATTAATCTGTTTTGTTGTTTTCTCCACCACCACTCCCGATGTTCTTAAAACCACATAAATAATGAGGTTATTCCTTGCAGTTCCAGGAGCAGAGATATTTTGTCCTGACCTGCAGCTCCCTGCCTGCCCTGACAGAAGGCTGCTTTCCTGCTTCCATCTCTACAGCTAAGGAGTAGCTCGGAAGATGGAATTGTGCTGCAGGGAAGGGGCTAGGTTTTGGTACGGTGAGGAGGACACACACATATGTGAGTGATTTGAATTTGTGGATCTGGCCACTGGAGTCCTGGACTTGTTTTATGTCCAGGAGTTATTAAGGGGAAAACAAACCAAAACAGGCTCAGGAGAGACCTTAGGGCAGCTTCCAATACCTAAAGAGGCCAGCAAGACATCTGGAGAGGGGCTTTGACAAGGGCCTGTAGGGACAGGACAAGGGGGAATGGCTTTAACCTGACAGAGGGGACACTGAGATGAGCTCTTAGGCAGAAGCTCTTCCCTGTGAGGGTGCTGAGGCGCTGGCACAGGGTGCCCACAGAAGCTGTGGCTGCCCCATCCCTGGCAGTGTTCAAGGCCAGGCTGGACACAGGGGCTTGGAGCAACCTGCTCTAGTGGAAGGGGTCCCTGCCCGTGGGAGGGGTTGGAACTGGATGGACTTTGAGGTTGCTTCCAACCCAAACCGTTCTATGATTCTATGACATAAAATGGCCGGGCCACTTTCCACCTCTCAGGGGCTCTTCTCCACAGTCGTATGTGCCAGCTGCAACCCACATCCCACATCTCTTGCTGCCTGCAGCAGACAGTGTGATACAGTGCTTTGGGAGAAACTGTGCTTCCCTGCTGGGGCTTGTCCAGCCTTCAAACCAGGTGGAAGAAGGCTTAGCAAGCAGGGATGCAGTAAAGTGTCGCCTTGTTACACCCTTCCTGCAATCCCATCTGCAGATAGAACCACATCCCAAAGTGGTTACTCCATGCACCGGGACATGCTTTGCAGCCTGCTCCAGCATGGGTGACTGATGGTGCCATTGGGGTCCCTGCCCTTGTTGCCTTTCCGGGCATCTTTGCTGCTCTCACTCCACTCCCAGGACCGTAAGATGATTAAGGGATTGGAGCAGCTGTCATGTAAGAAGAGGCTGACAGAGATGAGACAGTTCATCTTGAAAAAGTGAAGGCTCAGGTGGGTTCTTACCCATGGCTGTTGGGGGGTGAAGAAGGCAGAGGCAGATGCTCCTCAGTGGTGCTCAGTGAAAGACCAAGTGCAAAGTAAAGCTGAAATACAGAGATCAGACTTAAACTTCAGAGAAGCTTCCTCTGTGAGGGTGGTTAAGCAGTGGCAGGTTGGCCAGAGAAGTTCAGGCACCTCCACCCTTGGAGATACTCAAAATCCAGCCAGATGTGGTCCCAGGCTCTAGCGGACCCTGCTTTCAGCAGCAGGGAGTAGATGAGAAATGAGCATTTCCAAAGGTGCCTACCCATCTTAACTATTCTGTGAGTCTTTGATCCGTGTGTGCCTCAGTGATGAGAGGAGCACCCAGAGGTGCTAGATCTTTATGGGAGGGGTGTTGAAAATCCAGTTCAGCTGTGTGAGGTCTGTCCCCAGCTCACTGGATCCCTGCTTGGGCTTGGGTGCTGTGGTGTTTTGCCACCACAGGTACAGAAGAAACCGGGGCTGCCTGTGCCGAGCATCCCAACCAGTTAGCCTCACTGTGGCCACCTAGTGTCACCTGGGGTCGTGTTTCCAATGCCCAGCACCCAAATTCTGGCAACAGTTGGCTGGGCTGTGGGGCAGGGATGCACCCGGGCGATGGCAGAAATCAGTTATACCCCATGAGACCCACTGCCACCCTCAAGCCTGCTGCACTGGCCTCCAGCTTCCTGGGCAGTGGGGGCAAAGAAACACCTGCACAACGATGCCATCACTCATTAAAGGTTTGGTTTATTTCTGGTTTAAATCAAAATTAGTTGCTCTCTGTAATTACATTATATATAGATTTATAGAGACATTATAGAAAAGAATTTTTTGCTTTTTTTCTGCAAAAATCTGTAAATAAAAAATAAACGAAAACAAAAGGTCGCAGCTTCTGTGGGTCTGGCTGTCCTTCTCCTGCTCCTCCTGCCCCTGCCCTCCACAGCGCTTCCCAGCAGAACAGGAAAGGCTCTGGGCTGGGGCGCCATCTCACTAACATTCCCTACAGCCACAGCCGGGGAGGGACAGGAGCATGTGGAGCTGGAAAGAAGAAACACCAGCAGAATATATTAATATCTCATATTTTATTGAAGTCTGAGGACTCCGGGTGGCAAAGGGCAGTATCCCCATGGCCCAGGAAAAACAAACAGCATGGTGTCCCCAAAGTGCAGCTCCAGAAATCTGGTAGTCTCCATGCTGCTCCAAAAGCCAACAAGAAGGGGCAGGATGGGTGGGTGCGTGGTGTGGTATAAATAGCAATCAGAGGGTGGGTTGTGCAGCAAGTACTCCCCTGCCATGGGTGCTCCATTAGTGTGCGGCTGCAGCGAGCTGCCATGTGGGTGATGCTATGGTGCGCTGCCAGGAGCAGCACGGGCCAGGCAGCCACAGCCTGTGCCAGGCTGGTGCCCAGCAGCGCCTTGGCCCTCAAGGGATGGCAGAGGGGTTGCATGGTGTCTCAGAAAGCTGTGCTGGCCATGCTGGCTGGGGCAAAGATCCGCGGGAGGCTGTCCAGGGTCTCCTCCAGCCGCCGATGAGCTGATTTGCCATCTTCCCCTGCAAGCACATGCTGTGGTCAGGGAAGCAAGCTCCGGAAGCTCTGTCCTATTCCCTTACCCAGCCACCTTCCTTGGTCGTTCCAGGGAAATGTGGCTGATGTCAGGCAGAGCTAAGCCTGCATGCTGAAAGGCCACAGAGCGGAGAGCTCTCTTGTCCTCCTTAGTACACTCTTGGGCAGGTCCCAGCTGGGATCTGATCCCCAGAGCTCCTGGTGGGGATGTTGCACATCCTGTTCTTCAGCTGCCTGCCCTACCCCTGCTCACATGGAGGAGGGATTAGGGATCACTCATGTTTGGGCTGCAGGAGAGCCTGGCTTGGGGGAAAGGGGCCAGGGCTTGGGGCTCTGCCAGCTCCAGCATCTCAGACGGCTACGCGCATCTGCATACATCTTCTAGGCCCCTTCCAGTACCTAAAGGAGCTACAAGAAATCTGAAGAGGGACTTCTGACAAGAGCCTGTAGGGACAGGACAAGGGGAATGGCTTTAACCTGACAGAGGGGACACTGAGCTGAGCTCTTAGGCAGAAGCTCTTCCCTGTGAGGGTGCTGAGGCGCTGGCACAGGGTGCCCAAAGAAGCTGTGGCTGCCCCATCCCTGGCAGTGTTCAAGGCCAGGTTGGACACAGGGGCTTGGAGCAACCTGGTCTAGTGGAAGGGGTCCCTGCCTGTGGCAGGGGGTTGGAACTGGATGAGCTTTCAGGTTCCTTTCAACCCAAACCGGGCTGTGATTCTATGATTCACTGGACAAGGGATCCCAAGGGTTTCCCCAGGCACACACAGGGATGCATCCATCCATCCATGCTACAAGCTGGCTGTAGTCAGCACCCCCACCCACAGCAGCCATCCCCAGCAAGATGTGGTGACATGGACAATCTGCTGGGACATGGGACACGAGGCTTCTACGTGTGCTGGGTGCCACAGGGATGGCCTCTATGAACAGCCAAGACACACAGAATCCAAACATGACATGGCTGACAGGCTCTAAGACGGAGACATTCGTGATCAAAGCGGCCAGAGCGGGACAGGGGATGAGGACAGCTCACGTGTCCCAACCTGTGCAGCAGCTGCCGCGACCTGGAGGCCTAAAACCCCACTCAGATGGTTCTCTCAGTGCCATCTAGCAAATAACAAATGAAAACCAGGCTTAGTGCTCCATGGCCATAGCAGCCTGGCCCTCGCTGCCCACTGCCATCTTGCTGTTGCCTGGCAGAACTTGGGGCACGATGAGCCAGGATGCATGGGGGAGGCAGTGACCAGCCCAAGATACCCTCCTCCCATGGGCTCTGCTGGCACCAGGAGATTCCACTTGGGATAACATGTGTGGGAAGGGAGCAGGGAGGAGCAGCGGGACACTCACCACACAGCATCAGGCTCTGCTTGGCTGCCTCCCGCACAGGCTCCTTGTCGGTTTGGCACAAGTAAACCAGCTGCTCGATGCTTTCCTTGGCCTGCAGGAGAAGGGACAAGGGGTTCAGTGTGGCTGGCAGCAGGGACACAGCAGAGAGGAAGGCAGCACAGGGAGCTGCAGCCCCACGGTGCAGGAAAACCTGGTCCTGTTCCTTCCCTGCCCTGCCCCTGCTTGCTTCTCCAGCATATGTGGGGCAGCCCCAGCTCCTCTTATCAAGGTGGCTGGTGTGTCTGGAGCCACCAGCCACATGCAATTCCTCTGCTGCCTGCTCCGCACATCACTCTCACCTTCAGGCAGCCCAGCGCTGCACACCCTGCCACACGTGTCTGCATCTCCTCATCCTCCAGCTGCTCCAGGTAGCACACAAGGGCCTGGGGGAGAACGTGGGGGTCAGTGCCACCACCCTGCAGAGCCGGGGGTCAGCACCCACCTCATCCTTGGCTCCTCCAGCACATACCCGTTGTCGGAAGTGGGGGTTCTCTGCCAGGCTGCGCAGCTGGGCAGACACGGCGCTCACCACCTTGCTGTTGCCCTCCACAATCAGCAGGCTCAACGCCTTCAGCCCCTCCTTCTTGAGGCGGCCCTCAGGCATGCGCTTCAGGGCACGCAGCACCACGTCCTGGTCGTCTGAGTTGAGGTTCTGTGCCAGCATTGCTGTGGGGAGCCATGGGCTGAGCTGGGGTATGGGGAGCCCAGCTGCACTGCCCCCCTGCCACAGGGAACCCTGCATCCGTGCCTGGTAGAGATGACTCCACACAGGCTGCCAGCACATGGGGGCACCCAAGCCAAGGTGCTGCAGATGTACAGCAAGGGCCTGGGGTGCTCAGGAAGGCAGCACAGGTGTGGGCTGTGCACTGGATCAGAACAACTTGTCTATCCCAAGGATGGCAGAGCCTCTAGGGGACGCCCCAAGGCCACCATGGTGGTACTGCAGGGTGATCCCCTGTGGGGGATCCAGCACCCCATAGAGTTATGGGATAGTTCAAGTTGGAAGCTCATCTAGTCCAGTCCCCCTGCAGTGAGCATGGACATCCTCAACATCTGACACCAGGGTCTAGGGAGCATGAGAGGGCACCCACCTTCCTCTGCCAGCTCCATCATGTAGGTGTCGAGCACCAGGGTGCCAAGCGACTCAAAGTGGCTCCAGTACTGGAAGATGGTGATCTGCTCACCCTGGGCACTGCTGGGCCGCCGGGGCAGCCGCCGATTCAGCACATCCTCCACCAGTTTCACACACACTGCAGGAAAGGGCTGGGCTCAGGATGCGCAGCAGCCACGACCGCCCCTCTGCAGGGCTCCTGGCACCCGTAGGCCCTCACAAATGGTCACTGTGTGGGGCTGGTATCTCCCCAAACCCCTCTGTGCTCACCAGCGTCAGCCAGGCCAGGGTGCAGCTCATTGATGGGCGCTGCGTACTGTGTGCTGAGCACCTGCAGGAACCGCTCCACAGGGCAGGAGTAGACGTTGGGGGCCTCCACGCAGCGGTCCCAGAGGGGCAGCACGCCCTCCTTCCGCGTCGAGAACTGCACCACTGCAGGGACAGGCGCTGTCAAACACCCCAGGACACCCCACCACGTGCAGCCCCAGTGCGGCCCCCTCGCCTGTGCAGCTTTACCTTCAGCGGCAGAGGCCGCTGCTCCCGCTCGCTCCTCCGTGAGCTGGCACACCATCTCCAGAACCTGCGCCTCCCGCAGCAGCCTGTCCAGGGCGTACATCTCCTGGCACCGCAGGGGACCGAAGGTGCCCAGCTTCTGCAAGGCACAGCCAAAACGGGGACCTCATGGGCAGAGTTCACCACACGCTGCAGCAGGACACCCCTCAAAGGGGAACGCACAGCCCACCCCACACCTTCCATCCCCAGCACATCTGCCCCTGTGCTCACCAGCAGCAGGCGGTTGCAGTTGTTGAGGTGAAGCACCAGGGCCTTATCCAGGAACTCATTGCCGGTGCTCAGGGGATCGGTGCTGACCTCAGAGCCACTGCACATGCTGGTGTCATCTGCACCGGTCTCACCAGCGCTGGGGGCCCTGGTGCCTCGCTGCGGTCTGCCAGCCCTCCTGCAAGACGGGGGGAGATAGAGGCAGAGATCAGAATGGGAAACCTGGGCCTGGACGCTCCCCGGGGGAGTTCTGAAGGACCTACAGTACCACAGCATGAGGGCTGGGCAAACAAGCATGTCCCAGAGGCATAGGGCATGGGGGCAGACTCGCAGCCCAGCACCCATGGAGAGATGCAGGGTAGCACTGTGCCACCAGAATCATAGAAGCACAGACTGGCTTGGGTTGGAAAGGACCCTAAGATCATCTAGTTCCAACCCCCTGCCATGATGTGGGGGATGCCTCGCACTAGACCATATCATAAAAAGCCCTGTCCAACCTGGCCTTAAACACTGCCAGGGATAGAGTATTCACAGGCTCCTTGGACAGCCTGTTCCAGGGCCTCACCACCCTCACAGTAAAAAACTTCTTCCTTATATCCAGCCTAAATCTCATCCTGTTTCAGTTTGAACCCATCACCCCTTGTCCTACCACTACAGCCCCTAATGAAGAGTCCCTCCTCAGCATCCCTATAGCCCCTCTACAGATACTGGAAGGCTGCTATGAGGTCTCTACACAGCTTCTCTTCTCCAGGCCGAATACCCCCAACTTTCTTAGCCTGTTTTCAAATGGGAGGTGCTCCGGAAGGGCCAGATCCTGTTGCTTCTCGACCTGGACCTGCCCTCAACCCAGACCCACCCTGATGGGATGGTCTGAATGCTTGGCCACTCAGGCAGAGCTGGGCATCCCCCATCCCAACTGCCCCAGGGCTGCATCCTGCCCTGCGCCGCACCCCATGACCCTGCTGTGCACCTCTCATCTCGGAGAGGCTCCTCCTCAGAGCCCTCGGAATCCTCCATGTCCGAGGTGTTGAGGAAGCTGAAGCTCTCCAGTGCATGCTCCACTGTCAGGCTGATGCTGGAGGCCCGGCTGAGGAAGACTCCTTGCTTCTGCTGCAGAGGAAGGCATGGCGGGGTCAGATCCTGGCTCGTCAGCCAGACAACCCCACCTTCCGCATCCCCATCAGGAATCATGGAATCACAGCCTGGTTTAGGTTGGAAGGGACCTTAAAGCTCATCCAGTTCCAGCCCCATGCCACAGGGAGGGACACCTTCCACTAGACCAGGTTGCTCCAAGCCCCACTGAAGCTGGCCTTGAGCACTGCCAGGGATGGGGCAGCCACAGCTTCTCTGGGCACCCTGTGCCAGGGCCTCAGCACCCTCACAGGGAAGAGCTTCTGCCTAAGAGCTCAGCTCAGTGTCCCCTCTGTCAGGTTAAAGCCATTGCCCCTTGTCCTGTCCCTACAGACCCTTGTCCAAAGCCCCTCTGCAGCTTTCTGACAGCAAAATGGCCCCATCCCCATTATCCCTTGGCACTGCCACCAGAGATGGCTCCATCCCCCTTGTCCCCAGGTGCTGTCAGCCCTGTCCCCACAGTCCCCAGGCACTGCCATCCAGGACAAGCCTGTCCCCCCTTGCCTGGGTGCTGCGGGGAGCTCCTCACCAGCAACATCTCCTCCAGGTGCTTGAGCTCCCGTTCAAGGGGATGCAGCTCTGGGAACTGCCCCCGATAGTCATCCAGGGCCGAGCCCAGGAGGCTGATGGCCTCTTCCAGACCCGAATCCACCACCTTCCCCCGGGGCACCTCAGGGACACTGGCGGGCAGTGGTGTGGTTGTCACCGGGCTCTCATCCGTGGACGCTTGTGCTGGTGCCATGGGGACACCAGTGCTGCAGGCACCCCGTGCTGGCACCTGGCTCGGCACTGGCTTGGGCTCACTGGGGGTGGCCCATGCCGCAGAGGCACAAGGCTTGGCCTCAGCACCCCTGTCACGTGCTGGTGGCACTGCTGCCGCTGAGGCGCTGGGGACAGGGTCCACATCCTGCTCAGCAGTCCCCATATCCTGCGGGCTGGGCCCAAGCTCCCAGGGGCTCTCTGCAGCCTTGGCCTCCATTGTGGCATCCCCGCTGGCCTCACTGATGTGGCTCAGAGTCCGGGAGTAGGGCACATGCCCATTGGCCACCGCTTCCTTCTTGCGGCTGCCCGGCTCCTCTGGCTGGCTCTCAGCAGTGGCGATGCTGGCCCCAGTGCCAGGCTCAGCCTCCTGTGGCTGCTGGGAGAAGGAGATCTCGATGGCGGGTGCCGAGGCCTGCAGCTCTGGCTGCACTATGGGCTTGTGCACGGCGTGGCGGGCACTGCCGGGCAGCTGCGGGCTGGAGGAGTCGTCGGAGGACTCAGAGGAGATGGACCAGGCCGTGCCGTTCTCCAGCTCCTCCTGGCGCCGCAGCATGTTCTGGGGAGAGGGAAATGGTGTAAGGAAAGGTCTTTCTGATCCTATGTCTGCTTCCCTTCAACCGCGGGCACTCTGGCTCTGCCGGCATGGCTGCATGGCAGACCACGGCTGCCTCCTCCAGCCCCACATCTCACTGTGCACCGGCGGTGGCTCCAGCTCCACACACCCAGCCACATACCCTATTGAGCCCTGGGGTGCCAGTGGCTTCCCGGCATGGTGAGCAGCTCCAGCATGGCCATGATGGGATGAAACACTTGAAGCCAAGGCCACTACCCATCACGGCTGCAAGGATGGCGACTGCTGCAGTGCCAGCTCATGGCGGGCAGCACTGGCATCACACCAGTGTCATGCCAGTGATCACAGAATCACAGCATCAACTAGACGGGAAAAGAGCTGAACCAGTGCCACACCAACAGCATGTTAGCATCACACAAGCACCGTGACAGCATCGTGCTGGTGCCACGTCAGCACTGTCACAACAGTGCCATTACAGCACACCAGTGCCACTGGTGCAGGGACACAGACAAGCCTTCTACTCTCTAGTGCCCGGAGACAGAAGCAGGGCCAGCCTGTACAGCCCAGGCACCCCTAACTTGGGGACTGCCTCCCTTGGGACAGCCAGAGCCCGTCCTGGCAGGATCAGGTCTCTGGGCGCCAGTGATGGCTGGTGAGTAGGAGATAAGGAGCAGCTACAGCTACTGCAGGACGGGCACCGCGCTGGCTATGCTACGGGCTGGCTCCAGCCCTCGCACTTACGCGGCCCTGCTGCGGCCATCTCCCGAGCTCGCCTGAGGAGACATCGCCGCAGGAGCAGCTCTGAGACAGCTTCTCGAAGAGTGTCTCCTGAAAGATGTCCAGCAAGGACCAGCCATGCTTGTCGGCTGCCCGCCCAGGGCTCTCGGGCTGAGAGAAGAGGAGCTGTGAACACGGGAGGAGCAGGCACTGGTGCCGGGGTGCCCTGGCTGGACCGCTGGAGAGGAGCTGCCCACCCCTGTGTCACCCACTGGGACGTAGCCTGGTCACATCCCCTCGCAGACCCCTCCGTGGGCACCTCACTGAGCAGCCCTCAGCACTACACTTACATAGAAAGCCTGTTCCCGCAGGGATGGCGTGTCAGGCGGGCTCTGGTTGTAGGTGGAGAACCTCTTGTTCACTGTGGAGGCCTTGTTGACAGTGCTGGCTGCTGAAGGCTGGTCATCCTTGTCGAAGGGGCTGAGGAGGAGATGAGGGAGGTGAGGGCTGTGTGCCCTCCTTGGTGAACCTGCTCTACAGCAAGCAGTCCTCCAGGACCCCATCCAGCCCACCTCTGATTTTCCATAATTGCAGCCCAGTTTGGGGATGGGAGAGAGCCCAGGGCAGTCCACCTCTTTTCATACCGTGCCAGGCATCCCAAAGCCTGCCATGTGCCACCTGCAATCCCTGCTGGGATACTCACTTCCAGGTCACCTCCAGGCTGAGTTTGAGGGTGCCCAAGTCATTGATATCCACAGCCACTACCTGGGGTAGAGCTGCAAAGAGGTCCTTGGTCTCACAGGACACATTGCCCACCACAACATGGTTGGCCAGGCTCTTCAGCTCTGTCACCTGGAAAAGGAAGCGGAGGAGAGGAAGAGACGAAGTCATGGGCTCTGCTTTATACATGCTGTTCGCACCCATGCATTGTGCCAGGATTCACCACCACCAGATGTCCTCCTCCCACCCCAGAGGGGCTAAGGCTGGGTGAGGTCCTGGAGGGAAGCCCTGCAGGGTGATAGCTGACCCACATCATCCTTGCCCCCTTCTGCACGGTACCTTGATGGAGAGGAACTCGGTGACAAGGGGCAAGAAAACCATTTCCTCGCTGTCCCACACCTGCTTGCTGTTCACCTCAATGCGGCCACGCAGCTTCCACCTCTGCCGTCCGTACTTCATGAAGATCTGGGGGTGCAGGGGCAGGAGAATGGGGCAGACACATCACTGGGGTGATGAGTGCTCTCTGTGTGTCCCCAGGCATGGCCAGAGAGCCATGCCACCCAGCAATGCCCTGCAATGTGCCCTCCACACCAGCGCCCACCTATGCCCCCCAGACATCCCAAAGACCACAGGGAAAGAGAAGAGCAGATCCCAACCCGTACGGTCCCACCAACCTCATACTGGTCACCAGCACAAAGCCGGGCAAAGCCTGCAAGTCCTGCAAGAGAAGGTAGAGGGGCATGAGCAGGCAGCAGGCAGGGAGGCAGTGAGCCAGGGACGGAGTAGGGCTCTTTACCTTTCATCCGGACATGGAACTCGCCCAGCTGGCTCTCCAGCTCATTCTCCAACAGACACATGTTCTAGGGACAGAACAACAGGCAGCACCCATCAGCAGCCACCCATGGGCCCCAGCACCCTGCCAGCCCAGCCCAGCCCAGCACTGCCTTACCTCCGTGTACTCCTTGTAGCCCTTACTGGCCTCGGCCAGGCTCTCGCGTGCCTCCCGGCTGCCCGGTGAGCCAGTGCTGTAAGCCTTGACCATGTTGTGGGCTCCATCACGGAGCCGCCGCTGGATGCAGTAAGCCTCATAGAGCTCATCTATCTGCAAGGACAAGCCCGAGCTGTGGTGATGGGCAGGGCAGGGGGCACAGCATGGCCACCCCAGTGCTGCACCACGGTGATCCTGGTCCCCAGCTCTCACCTTGCTAGCGTGAAACTCCAGGCGACGCAGGAAGCGCTCAATTGACTTCACTTGCTGGAAAAGCAGAGGAGATGGTGTGAGCACAGTACAACCCCTCCATAGAGGAGCTGCAAGTCAGAATGGGCCCTGTTGCCTGTGCTGGAGCTGGGACAGGTCCTGGCCTCCTTCCCTGCCTGGGAAGTGCAGGGTGGCAGTGGCCGTGAGCAGAGGCTGTGCTTGCACCCATGTGCTGCAGCATCCTCCAGCCTTCTCTACTCTGGAGGGTCACCCAGGAGACAAGCCAGCCTCCAGGGTGCTCTTCTCCCACCTTCAGAGCTAATCCAGGCTCAGCACTCACCAGCAACAACTTCTGCTTGCAAGAAGCAGGTTACAAGCCCCTGCTCCGTCCCTGTCCAGACCCACCATGCCCATAGAGCCCCATCAAACCCCACAGGCTACAGGGCAGTGTAAGCAGAGAGGGGCTGGCAGCAGCATATCCCAGCTGTTAGGATGGGGGAGACAAAGGGGAGGGGGTACTGATCCCTCTTACCTTATCCAGATCATAGAGAAAGCCCTGGAGGAGAGAGGAGAGGGATAAGATGCAGCACAAAGCCAGTTCTGCCCATCCAAGGAGACGCAGCACATTGCACCCACCACCCATAGCATGTCCAGCACCCAGTCAGGGCTGGAGAGTGCATGACAGTAGGACAGCCCTACAACAGAGCCCAGACCAGCCCCTAACGTCTCCACAGAAGGGACACAGATGGACCATGAGCTGCCCCGGCTGTGTCCATCATCTGCCCAAAGCAGCATGCCCTATAAGGATCTTCCCAAGCAACACTCACCAGGCGTGAATTCCTCTTGGACTCACGGATCTGTGTGCTGAGCTTCTCCAGTTCCAGCTGGTGCACCTCCAGGTAGGCTCTGGGGGCAACCACACCATGGGGTCACGCTGGGGCGCCATGTTCAGGGCTCCTGTCACCCACTGCCCACACCAACCCACCATGCCTGGCCCTGCATCCTCACTCCCTGCTGCAGCGCTCAGGCAAGGGAGCCCATGTGTACCACTACATGGGATGTAGTGGGATGTGGCACCCCACACAGCTCTGGGACTGCACCCAGAAGACCTCGCACGTCCCTGCCTGGTGAGAGGAGAGAGCTGCCAACCCCAACTCACACGGCAGGCTGTCCCCATGCTCCTCAAGAACTCCCTGCCTCCCACCACCCGGCCATGGGGAGCCTCAGCACTTACGTCAGGCCCTTCTTGAGAGCTTCGTACACCTCGTCCAGGCGGTTGGGCTGAGGCACCTTGGGTGGGGGGGATTTGTGGGACATGGAGAACATCCTACTGACCCTGGAGCCAGTCTTGCGGGACACAGTAGGGGTGAAGGGCGAGAGGTTCCTGAGGAGAGAGGCAGGCGAATGGGAGTGCCTGGGGTTAGCACACAGCACCGGGGTCCTCCTTGGCGACCCAGCCTGCTGAGCACCTTGTCTCAAGACAAGAAGGAGGTTTGGGATGGAGGCCGGGTTGCCCAGATCTGCCTGCCTCTCCCAGGACTCCCAGTCTAACCAGTGGGACTGGGTGAGACAGGGCCGTGAGGCTGGGCAGTGCTGCCTGCACTGCATGCCTGCAACCCCCCCCAGTGCATTGGCTGGCCCAAAGCCATGGAAGGACAAGGAGAAACCCCACAAAAAGCTGTCAGTGGTGAAGAGCAGGGAGGTCAGACTGTCCCAGCAGGGTCCAATAGGCAGGCTATGGGGTAGTCTCTGAGAGGTGTAGGGGTCCCAGGTTGGGGGCAGCGGAAGCAAATGGAGCTGGCAGGAGGTGGAGCCAGGCTGTGTGCCCAGAGTGTCCCTGGAGACACCTCCAGCCCTCTGAAGGGGCCATGTTCTGCTCCACCCCAGCACTCCAGGTTGCCAGGCCTATGCAGATGTTCCCTGCAGTGTGGGCACTGTGGCAGGGTGACACATGCCACCATCAACTTGCAGCCTGCTACTGCATGCTCTCAGGGACAGGCAGGGATCCCAGTGGGTGGCAGCACAGGAGCATCCTGCAGACGGGCAGCCCTGTCACCCTGTGGCACAGTGCAGGACGTGGGGCACGGATATCCTCACGGATGCTACACCTCTGCAGATGTCACCAAACTCACAGCACAGAGCTGCCCACTGAAGGATGCCGACCCAGCACCGGGCCCCGAACACCACCCTTCCTGCCTTGTGCAATGGAGTCACTCCCAGCCCAGCAAGCAACTCCCTGCTCCAACCAACTCTTCCATTCTTCCTCCCAATGCATGGGAGACACCATAGACTCCTCAGCTCCCAGCCCTGGACTGGACTTCCCATCCTGTGTTTCTCTTCACAGGAGGAGCCACCAGAGCTCCCCGAATCACTTGGGGGGCAGAAATTAATATCTTGGCCTCTTCCCAAGCTAGAGCAATGGGTGAGTGTTTGATTTCCACTATCCCTCCTCATTTCTGTCCTCCAGGGCTCCAAAGGCATCACCCATAAGCATCTGCCCACTAGCCACTTGTCTGTGAGCATCCAAAATTAATCCCTCTTCCCTGTCCCCAAGCAGGCCCCTGTGGCAGGTACAGGTCTAGTGATGTGCTGGTGGTCTGGAAAGTGTCATTTGGCCCTGAGGCTGGACAGAACCTGGAGACAGCAGCCAAGCAGGACTGGAAGTCTGCTCCTAGGCATGGAGAGGCTCTAGCTGGGCTTGTGCCCACACAGTGAAGACGCCCATAGGCTGGTAAGGCAGATGGTACTGCTTTCCCCAGCCAGGGGGTGCACTGGGAGGTAAAGAGGCTGGCTGGGTGCTAGGAGAAGGGGTTAAAAGCATTAAAACCTGCAACTCAAAGCCTTGGAACACCCCCGTCCCAAGAACCACTGCTAGAGGATAGGCAGGAACTAGGGATGGTGCAGAGGAGGGTGGTGGGGATGAGCAGTGTGTGGGACGATTCTCACCGACGTGAGGTTCAGCAGAGAGGAGGAGGAGGAAGGGGATGGTGGGACCATAACATCACCAGCGGCCAGACAGGATGAGGAGGGACCGGCTGCTCCTTGCAATGCAGCTGATGGGCAGCCAATAAAACCTTTCAGCAACAGGTTTGAAGTGACCTGGAGGAACCTCTGATTCCCACCAGCACTCAAACCCCAACCTGGCCACTGCAGGATATCCAGGCCATCAAGACAATGCTTCAAAGCCACCTCAGCTCCTTCACTGCATCATTAAACATAATGAGATGGTCACAGGGAGGCTCTTCAAAGCTGGTGGTGAGCTACACTGCCCCTCCATGCTCTGATGGCATGGGCCGCAGGGTCCTCACCAGCCTGGGACACAGTACAGCCGAGGGTTCAGGTGATGGGCTCTCCCTCCCGTTTGACCTCGATGCTCATTACAGCCCCACCATGCAACATCCCCTGGGTACCACAAGGGTCCCTTGAGGGAGATGCCAGGACAGCGGGTTGGGAAGGTGCCTTGGGATGCACAGCAGGTCCCACCATCTGCCCCTGCCCAAGCCTGTCCCCATCTCTATCCCTCATGGCAGGCAGCATGAGCATTCATCTCCTACCTGAAGGGTCGGTCAGCTGTTGAGTTCACTCCAGCGAAAGACTGGCTCCTATTGATCTTGGTGACGAGGACACGGCGCTGCGGGCGCACAGACAGTGACATCGTTGAGTGTGACCTGGAGGGCCTCCCTGGCGGCACAAGAAAGGGGTGTCACCAGCAGCAGAGTGGGGAAACACACACGGCACTCATGGGCTGGGAGCCCTCCCTCCTGCTCAGCCCAGGGACCCTGCTGGTGCCACTGGCAGGACCTTGCTGTCCCTGAGGGACGCTACAGGTGCCCTGCCTTGGGTGAAGCAGGGCTGTGAACACTGTGAGCACTCAGCAAGGACAGACAGGGCCCTGCACAACAGGATCTAGTGTGAGGCACCCCTGCCTGTGGTAGGGGGTTGGAATTAGATTGTCTTCAGGTTCTTTCCAATACAAACCATTCCGTGATTCTACGATTCTGTGGCCCAGCTTGGCCCCATGGGAGCCACAGGAAGGCTGATGCCTAATGCCTTCCATGGCCCTTCCCAGACATAAACATGGCAAACTCTCTGCTGTGCCCCCGCCTTCTAGACACCTTGTCCCATGTCCCGCTGTCGCCTGTGCCACCTGTAGCAGGAAGGGTGCGGAGCCCGATCTGCCTGCCCAGCCCTTCGCTGTCTCCATGCTCACTTCCGCTCACTCCAGCAGCGAGGAGGGAAGCCCATGGACAACAAAGTGCTTTGGAAAGTCCCAGCCTTGCCAGGAGCTCTGTGTCGGGAAGGAAATGCAGAGCCGTTCCTGCCAGACCCTGGAAAGGCCGCACAAGCAGCACATGTCCAGCCCCATGGCTGCTGCAGCCCTGCCCTCTGCTCCTGGCGCTGCCAGAGACCCAGCTAGGCACCCTGCACTCACTGCTGGTGCCTGCCTGTCTCCCAGCAGACCTGGGGCATGGGCCTGCCTGCCACCACATCAGGACAAGCAAGGGGTTCTCCCCTTCTGCTCCTCTCTGGGGAGACCCCCCTGCAGTCCTGCATCCCGCTCTGGGGCAACAACACAAGAGGGATGTGGAGCTGTTGGAGTGAGTCCAGAGGAGGCCATTCAGATGCTGCGAGGGCTGGAGCAGCTCTGCTCTGGAGCCAGGCTGAGAGAGCTGGGCTGGGGCAGCCTGGAGAAGAGAAGGCTCCTGAAGGGGAGACCTGAGAGCAGCTCCAGTGCCTAAAGGGGCTGCAGGAAACCTGGAGAGGGGCTTGGGACAAGGGCCTGGAGGGACAGGACAAGGGGGAATGGCTTTAACCTGACAGAGGGGACACTGAGCTGAGCTCTTAGGCAGAAGCTCTTCCCTGTGAGGGTGCTGAGGCGCTGGCACAGGGTGCCCAGAGAAGCTGTGGCTGCCCCATCCCTGGCAGTGCTCAAGGCCAGGTTGGACACAGGGGCTTGGAGCAACCTGGTCTAGTGGAAGGTGTCCCTGTCCATGATAGGGGGATTGGAACTGGATGAGGTTTAAGGTCCCCTTCAACACAAACCAAGCTGGGATTCTGTGATCACAGGGAGCATTGCTGCAGGCCAAAGCCCAAGGCAAGAGCAGGGGCATTGGGAATCCTCCTGGCCCTGCCACCCCCAGCAGTGCCAGCTGGGCACATGGAGGAGCCCAGCTCACAGGGCTTGACACCAACTCAGTCCCTTTGTCCCTGCCATACTCCTAAAGCTGAGTTGAGGGCCTGGGAGCCAGCAGCTGACAGGTACGATCCCACACAGTGCCCAGCAGTCACACACCATGCCAGGGAAGTCCAAGCAGGGTGCTCAGGCACACAGTGTCCCAGCTCCCACCCCAGCATGGTCAGCAGTGAGCCCCAGCCCTAGTAGCACCAGGGACCACACAGGGATGCAGGCATTGCCGTGGATCCCGCTGCAATCCCCATTCCTTCCCCTGGCACAACAGGAATAAGCCCAACTCGAATCAGCACAGACCTGCTCAGCTGCCGGTGGGCACCGCTCCGGTGCTGTGCTGCTCGGTGTCCTGCAGCCATGCTGTCACCTCCCTTCACACCAGCCTGGGACAGGCATTCACAGCACCCGGGATGAGCCAGGGGTCCGGAGCCAAAGCCAACCACTACTACAAACCTCTGTCCCAGCAGAGCTGGGATTCAGCAGATCCATCTGCTTCCCCCTTGGCACTCGAGTCCTAGCACAGCACCAAGGAGCTGCTCGGTGCGTCCCGCTGCCTTGGTGCTAGTCCATCTCGTTTCCAGGACAACACTGTCCCAATTAAGCTCATTAGGAGAAGCTGTAATCCCTGGCAGCCAGGCTGACCTGCAGGGCCTGGGCAGATTACCCTCTGCAGGGCAATTTAATCTGCTCCCCACTGAGCGAGCAAGGCCCATGGCACCAGTACTTGCGGCCCCAGCTGGGCATTACAGCCAACCATCTATAGGGAAAGGTAAGCACCAACCACCCCTGAGACCATGCTCTCCACAAGTGGAGCACGTCAGAGCTCCTACGGGGTGAGTACAACCCTGCCAGCCCATTCTCCAATCCATGTCACAGTCTGGGGACACAGAGAGCTCGAAAGAGGGAGCCCACACAGAGCAGAAGGATATGAGAGCATCACAGGGTATCTCAGGGGGACAAGGGAGCTGGAGGGGCTGCAAGGGACCAATGCCCCTGCACAGCTCCACAGGAGAGCCAGAGCAATCCCCAGCCACTCACCCAGGCACCCCGGAGGCTGGGTTGTGCTCCAAGGCCGCCGGGGCCCCTGGGCTGGCACAGGGAGCAGTGCCATGAGCCTGCTCACAGGACCCCGCTCTCCCCCAAACACCCCTCAAACCCAACCAGCCGCCGGTGGATGCAGACCTGAGTCAGCAGCAACAGACGGTGCAGCCCAGTGCCAGGTCCTGCCAGCACCAGCCTATCTCCACAGCACCCTGCAGCTCACCCCCTGTGTCAGAACCCCAAAGTCCCTTCCAGACAGAGAACACAGACAGGCAGGAGCCGGGTGCCAGAGGTCAGCGCCGCCTGCATGAGGCAGGGCATGCAGGGTGTGGGGTCTGCACTCCTGGCACCCTGGGCTCATAGCGGAGTGAAAAACCCCAGCGTGGTGCATTCCTGACATTACCAAGATAAGAGGTACCTGGTACGGGCGGCACAGCCATCCCCCGTGGTAAGCAGAGCCTGGGGCACACTTGGAAGGGGCTGCTGACCACCACATCTCACCCAGGCTTACTGGGAAGCTGGCACTGGGCACAGTCATGTCCCTGCCATGTGCTGAGCCCCAAGCACATCCCTCCCTCTCCTGACAAGGAGCTGCATAGCTCTTGCCCCAGATGTCCAGTCCCTGCTCCCCCACCACCCTCTGACCTCAATTAGGACCTTCACGCTAACAAAGCTGCCTCCCAACCGAGCTTGTCACCTTGCTGTGCCTGCGCTGCAATCCCAGGAATCCGTCTGTCTGTGCGTGCTCGGCCAGCGCTGCCCGCGGGCACTGCCCAGGAGGACACAGCAGCACCCAGATGTGGGCAGCTGGATGGGCAGCACGGCTCAGGGTGCTGGAGCCCACCCTGGGGCTCCCCAAGCCCGGTGCCGGCTCCCTCCTCTCTCCTACTCCTGGCTCTCTGGAGATGATTGGGATCCCAAGAATGCTGGTCGGAGTGGTGGAGGGGGCAGTCCGACCGGCTGGGTTAGTCCCAGCTGGTTTCTGTTTCCGACACTCAGACACCAGCCCCAGGTCGCTCTAGCGGGTTTATCAACACTGCCCTGGTCGAGACGCCTCAGACTGGCTCCCCCTCAGCCCTGGGACCAGCATCTCCCATAACATCACCCACCGGAGGACAATGCATGGAGTGGCCTAACCAGCACCCCCGACCCCGGGAAGCAGTGCCCACAACCAGCCAGCAGCACCCCAAGAGGGGCTGGGCTGTTGCCCCCACACTGTGGCCCTGTGGCCACCTCCCCAGCCACAGTGGGGAGGACAGGGCACAGCAGCCATGGGCTGGTCCATCCTGCCTGCGGTGTCTGTGTCCAGCTGGGGTCCCTCCTCCCCACACCAGCACCATGACCCTTGGGTGCACGGTCGGGATGGCCTGGGGAGCCCGTGAACTCGTCCTGCAGCACAGCCCGGCCGCTGCATCCGTGTTTGCACAGCTGTGTCCCCACCGCCTGACCCAGGCCCCCTGCCAGCCCTTTCCGGCCCCAGCACAAGGCTTGGCCAGCTCTCGGCATGGGCTGGAGCGGCTCTTCCCTCCCACCACCTCCCATCCCTCCCCGGCACGCAGGACACAGGCATCCAGGGATGCATGCCATGGTCACAGGGAGCCTGGGAGCCGCCTCTTCCCTGACCTCCTCACGCTCTGCCTCACATCCTCCAGTGCCAGGTGAGGAGGGGGACTGGGGATTCTGGGGAATGGGATGAGTCAGTGAAGGGAATCCCAGCTCCTCGTTACTCACCCGGGAGAGAAACTCCCGGCCATAAGGCTGCAGCCCCAGCCAGAGCAGGGTATGGTGGTGTGGGGGCCGGCAGCAGGATCCACCCTCACAGCTGTGGGAGGCCACTGGCTCCTTGGGCCAAGTGGGAGGGCGGCAGGAAAGGGAAGGAGCTGCGAATGGGAAGAATTGGAGGAAGTGCTTATTTACCCCACGGAGTATCCCTGAGGAAGGGCAGGGCACGGCGCAGGCAGACACTCACAGCCGCCTCCCACCCCAGCACCCATCCCGTGGGATCCCATTAACAGAGCAGTCTCTAAGCCCCAAACTGTGATCCAAGGACGTGGCCGCTGCTGGAGCTGGGGGGTTCCCCAGTGCCTTGTTGAGCTCCAGCCCTGTTTTCTAAGGCAGCTCCTGAGAACCAGCCCAGGACCACCATGGCCCCAGTGAAACGGGTCCCCCACCAACAAAGACACAGATGAAGCACCCAGCCAGAATCCCAATGGCTTTTAAGGCCCTACTAGATGGGACTGCAGCCTCACACGAAGACAAGACCCTGCTCCTGAATGGGCTGTGACGCCTCTCATAGATGCTGAGATCCTCTGGGAGGATCCAGAGGTTGGCATAACCTTGCAAAGGTCCCACATTCCACCTTCACCCCTGCCTGCTCATCCCAAGGTGCTCTGCTGGGTACCAGTAGCTTCCCCTCCACAAATCCTACCCGGGCAATTTGGTCCCCGTGTAT